AGCCAGAACTCTCCATTGAGGTCTCCAAATCCTTTTTCATAGTCAGCCCAGTTGAGGTAGAAGTCATTAGAACCATCCATTCTCCTTTGAAATACAGTCCATCCACCTCCATTACTCATATCACAATAGACCTGTTGAATATAAGTTATATACATGTACAGTGTAGCTTCTTTATTATAGTCCCATACTACATGTCCTTAATACAGAGGTGACCTCATTTCAGAGGTACTTTTGCATAGTCAGGACATCAAAATGTTATTATTATAAAGGGTTCTATATATTGTTTATATTGAAATTATATTTACCTCAAAGGCTGGTAGCTCATCAGGTTTCACAGTATATACTCCACTGCATACTTTACCATTTTCATATGCTTCCTTACAGTCACGAGGGAGACAACCTACAGTAAAATAGATATGTCTAATTATTTTTATTACTGTATGACTTACATGCTTCTTGTGTTTCTTGTGCAGTATAGCAATGCTAATAAGAATGAAGCATCCTATCAGCTTAAAATAAGAACAGGAATCCATCTTGTCTTGACTTGCTGTATAGAACTAATACTGAACAATCCTTTTACTGTAGGTTACCAGTGATGAGTGTTTGTGTACAGCTACTGCTTTTATAACATGCTGGAGCTTTATTTACTATTAGTTAAAATTATTGTGAATTTACTTACTACTACTGGCCAAGATTATTGTGAATTTCAGATACTACTGTTACTACTAATATTTAGCTGACAAACTAGCCTGAGATACTTGTTGTAGTAAAAACATGCAAAACCAAAACTGACCTCTTTTACTCAAATACACATGTAACATTATTATTAATATTTTTTTACTTGTTTAGTATCTATTATCAATTATATTAGATACTGCTTAGGCTAGTCTACATGAAATGTTATGCTTTGTGTTACTTTTGTGGTGTGTTAATTTTTGTTATTTTCATGCTCTCCTTAAATCTACGGATTTAAACCACATCCAATGCCATTTTATTGCATATACTATTCCCAAAACACAAAAATTAGCTCATTACATGAATATTATTTTTTGAGCACATTTTAATTGAAAACACAAAATTTTTAACACTCAAAAATTTGAACGTACATGTATATAGTTGTGTAGTGTAGAGATGTTTGATGTTATGCATAGTAGAAATTTGGAAAAGCCTATAATTGTGATTCTGTGCCAAATATGGCATCCACCTTACTGTACTATAGCACTACAGAAACATCTCTCTTTTAATATCAACCATAATAATGCAATTTATAGACTAGCATATAAAAATTAATTTGTCCTTACCATTTTAGCAAAGATTGTTACAAAAATTTTTATGTAGGTTTTATTGCCAGTGTTGGGACCCCTTGTCTAGTGCTCAGACCCAGAGTCTTGTAAAAACCCTCAAACTGATAATTTCAAAGACCTCCAGAGAAGTTTAATAAAGAGAATACAAGAATCAATCAATGAAGACATGTACATACCACTAATGAATAAAAGGTATTGATATTATGAATTGTAGAAATGTACCTTAGAGTGGGTATTGATTGCGCTCTTAAATTTTAGCGTTTTTAAGGGGGCCCTGATTTAGTGATATGTAATATTAGCGAAGATAGGAAGAAAATCAATAGTAAAACCCCCATTCAATAGCATAACACTACTCAAAAAGCCAATCTATACATTAAAGAGCAGAATACTTAACAAGATCACCCTATCTACTGTTATCTTGTTACAGATCTTGCCTATCTTGTGTACTTGTTTACACAAGTACATAATAACTATTATTAGCAGCTGGTTGAATTAGCGTTTTTAAGTACACTTACTAAAAACACTAAAATTAAGTGTCGCAATTAATACCCACCCTAAGGTGTTCTTTATTGATGGGAACATCATCTACTCTTGATGGGAATTATATTTGGCAATTTATTAAATTTAGGAATTGCATTAAAAATTTAGCAATAGCCATGCTTCATTGAGCATGTAAAGAATAAAGCAAAATGAAATGGACTTTTATTCAGTGCAACTTTAGTATTATTATTACTTAATATTACAGTTATGTAGTTAATTATTCAATTGTTAATTAATTTGTAGTCAGTTAGAAGCCACCAATACATACTACAGTTTCTATCAAACCATTGATATAATCAGTGGGAATGGAAGGGAGGAAAAATTTAAAAAATTGATTAGAAACAGCTCAACTTTGTACATAACATAAAAACATTAATATGTATCAGAAACTGACTTAAATAAAAATTTGCGGTAATTTTGGAACCATTAAAAAACATGGGCCCTTGGTACTTTTCAGAAATTGGTCCATTTTAAAAATTGCTATAACTCAAAAATGTCTGTTGGAATCAGCTCAAACTTTCTACACAGCATAAGTATATCCATATGCATCAGAAAATGTAATAAAAATTTAGGGTGATTTTGGAGCCATTAAAAAAACCATGGGAACTTTTAGAAATTGGGAATTTTTAAAATGGTCATAACTCCAAAATGTTTGTCAGAGTTGGCTCAAACTTTGTACACAGCATAAGGACATAAATATTTATCAGAAAATTTAATAAAAATTTGGGGTGATTTTGGAGACATTTTTCAGAAAAAACCATGGGCTATAAATAATAGTCTTTGCCTTTTTTGTCACATTCAAAGTGTCACAAAGAATGAGAAAACAGGAGAGAGAATTTGTGTTTGTTTGAAATTTACAATATAGTTATTAACTATTGTCTTTATTAATCAGTTGCTAGGGAACATCCTCTGTTGTCAAGGGTTACTACCTGATAGTGTATTGTACCAGTTAGCGTTTGATGGGCTGGTGTCTCGTTATATTCTCCTCTCATTACAACATTCACCAATTAATGAACTAACTGTTAGCAAAATAAATAAAGTAAGTGGATCTGTACTGTAGAGAGGGACCTTCTAAGACAATAGGTGCAAACAACATTGTGAACATAATACTGTATGTGTACATGTACATCAGCATTAAGTTCCTATATACAATTCAAACATCATGCAGTTAGGACTTAGTCTCGCTAGCTCTAATTTAACAGTGATTACCATGGTAACAGTGATTTCATTGGGTTGACCAAATTCCACCAGACAAGCATGAGTTGATGTTAGGCATGAAACCAGACTCTATTCTAAAAATTAAGTCTGGCCCCACGAAACTAGCTAGAACTGTGGCCATGGGTTACAATGTATTATACATATACTTTCTAATGCCTTGCCTTTTGTTAAGTAGCTTAAGTGTAAGGACTGGCTTATGTAAGTTTGATATAATTATTTTACTTCTCTTTCCTTCATCTCCACTCTCTCTCTTTGCTCCAGTTATTACATTTTGCCTAGCGACTGGTTGAAAGATAGGACCAGTGATGAGTGATAATTATAAAGGAGTAGAGTCACTTAGAAGATTTATAAATTATTTAAGTGACCGAGCAACACAACAAGTATTTTCATTGATTAAAATTGATTATGATTTTATTACTTTTATATAATTTTATAGATTGTTAAAAGACAAGTTATTACCCCTTCAATTATTATTAACTGAACAATTAATAATAAATTGTCATTTTTCTTCTATACATGTTTTTTCTTTAGTCAAAAAATATTAGTCATTAACTAACAAAAATAATGCTTCAGGAGAAACCTTTAGACATTATACTTGTGTTATCTTACCACCAGAAAGCTCCTGTTTAAATAACACTATTTTTGCCATGACAAAATTAATTGTCTTTATGCATGGGTGCATGAGTTAGTTGCTTAGGCCAGGTCGTAAAAATACTTCATTAAAATTATAATTAATATATAATTTATTATCAACATATCTCTTTAATTTTATAAATATGCCATGCATGCATTTTGGCTTCAAAAATTAAGGTTCATCTTCTTTTTTGTTGTTAGAATTGTAAGAAGTTTTTGAATCAAGGCCAGTAATTACTTGAGTGCTCACATCATCAGATGAAATATCAGCTTCTGAATACTTATTAGCATGACTGCTATCAATTAAGACTACTACAGTTTTAGCCTCAGTTAAGTAAACCTACAAATTTACATCAGTAATAAACAGAAAATGTAATTTTTTTAAAAACTTGTATACCGTGTCTTCTTCAAATTCATCTTCAATATTATGATCCAACAAAATTGACTTTACAGCTAATAGAGAAGGATCACTTAGCGAGTCTATATTTGTTTCATATGTTGTTACTTCCCTGTTATTATACATGATAAAAAGTTTATAAATTTCCAACATTAATTTGTCACTAACCCAGTAGTTGATAGTGTATGTTTGCCTTTTTCAGATACTGGAGCTTGTGCTTGCTTATATTCCATAGCATCATCTTGCTTTAAATCACTTTTTTGAATTGAAGGTTGAATTTGAGTACCAATTTCAGCTGTTTGAATTGAAGGTTGAATTTGAGTACCAATTTCAGCTGTTTGAATTGAAGGTTGAATTTGAGTACCAATTTCAGCTGTTTGAATTGAAGGTTGAATTTGAGTACCAATTTCAGCTGTTTGAATTGAAGGTTGAATTTGAGTGCCAATTCCAGCTGTTTGAGTTGAAGGTTGAATTTCAGTTAAGCCAATTTGATTTGGCTCTTCTTCATTCCGGAGTTGATATCGAAAAATCCTATTTCTATAATAACACTTGTAGCAGCAAAATATTATCACCAGTACCACAATAACTATAATATAAATGTAAAATCTTTAAATACTTAATACTTAACTTACCAGCCATTAAAATTGCTATTATTATTAATATCAATACTATCATAACTTGTGTTGATATGCAGTTTTTTGTCTCTGTTAATATAAAATTAAAAGTAAAAAAGTTAAAATTTTACTGTGTAACAGAAATATTTTTGTA